TAAGGAAAAGGGCCAGTAAAATCATGGAAAAAATAACAAAAGGACATTCAAAATATTTAAATAAGAGAAGACTGACTATAAGCATGGCAATTGGGCTTACAAAATGATGATTAGATGGGCTAAACTTGTAAACTTGTAACAGTTAAGTAAATAAAGGTTAAGATTGAAAGTGTTGGTTGATTGGAAAGTGAGATGGGCAAGTTAATCAAGATCAGGACAAAGCAGAAATTCTAAAGAATATTTTTTTCTTCAATAAGTATGAAAGAAGAATGTATGTCTGTAGATTTGCAAATCCCTGTTACAAAGCCTTACAGCAAATATATTATTGGTTAATAGGATGTGGGGTCTATATTTAAAGGGACACTGTAGTCACTATAAGCATTTCATCTCTTTGAATTGGTTATAGTGCCTAGAGTGCCCTGGCGTTGTCCCTCCATTCAGTGTTGCACCATGTTCGTGCAGTATGCCACAAAATAAGAGTCCCTGGCCACCCACAGTCCTGGCCCCTTCAGTATGTGTAGCTAAGGCAGAGATTACACACTTCCTTGTTGTCATACCCATTCATACCATCAGTTGGAACTCTGACAGGCTAAAAGCAGTCAGCTGACACTCTCAGCCAATTACAGCTGCCTATTGCTGCCCAGGCTAATACTTCCTTATTAGCCAAAGCAGCACAGAGGGGATGGATTGCTGGGGACTCTTGTTTAGCATTAAAACATTAAAAAAGGTTTAATGCTGAAAGAAATGATGGTACCTGAGGACTCCAGACACTATAACCAGTTTAATGAGATGAAGCAGATACAGTGCCTACGGTGTCCCTTTAAAAAAATGTGAGCTCAACATGTGTGTTTGGGAATTTTTTTTTTTTTTAATTGAAAGTCTTTTATTGATTTTTGTCATTCAAATGTCATAAACATAAATATCAAACAAAGCATGAAACTGGTGGGGGGGGGGAGGGGGAGGGTTACAGAATAGAAGCAGGGAGAGGGGGTCCATATCAGACTTTTTACATTAAGGTGTACAGTCCCATTGCTAGGATACATTGGTTGCATCTTATCATATATCCGCACACATTCTTTATCCTTCTACAACTCTCAATTTTGCCTATTCTTTCGGTTCTGTCTCTATCTTGTTCCCTTTCGCTCGTCCTTCTGCCTGTACCTAGTGGTTGGCCCTAGGACCTTGTCCTGTCTAGTGGCTTGGTTGTCGGGAATCTCCCGTAGTTCCTGCGTCCCATAGTCTCCATGCTTTCGTGGCCATATCGGTCAGGGGGAGAACCCCTCTATAGCAGGATTCATATAATTGTTGTATGTCAACGTCCCTGCAAACCTCTGTCACTTGTGGGGGTCTACGCTTTTTCCATAGTCTAGCTATCGCCCTCTGGGCTGTCAAGAGGATGTGGAATGTTAGTTTTTGTACCTCTTTAGGTGTGTTGTCTGCAGGGGAGGGCTGGCAGCCTTAGGCCTGGGGGGCAAAACCAGTCAAGTGGCCCATTGCACCACCAAATCAGTTCACCATCCATGCCCACCTTTTCCTGATTTTATAACGGATATTGATGTTATGCTAATCAGTAGCTCTTTGCCATACCCGCTCATTCACGGCTCCAGGCACTGCTTGTTGTGAGTGTGAGCCACTGTAAATTAGGGGCAGAGGGCATTTGCACTGCGGTAAAGATGGGGCTGGACAGGAGGAGAGTGCAGTGCAATCAGTGCACTCCCCTCCTGTGGGTCACCAGTAGACTGGTGCACCTGCCCAGGATCAGTGCCGGTGCAAGGATTTTTGCCGCCCTAGACAAAATAAAAATTTGCTGCCCCCCCATGTGACATCACAATGCCCCACCCATATGAACTAACGCCAGTGCTGCACACAGTGTGTGTTTACATTAAAAAGCCTGCAGGGACCAGCTATAGACACCAGAACCACTTCATTAAGCTATAGTGTCCCTTTAATGTGAGGTACATTATAGATTAGTGTCACTAATAATATACTAGATTGCCTACTTACAAGCAGATGAGGATGATGATGGGCTGCAGTTTGGCTCCACTGGTCTGGTGTAGAACAGGATCTCTGGAGGCTGTTTGCAGCTGTGGTCACAAAATTCAATGTTCTGGGAGAATTGGAAGCAGCTCCATTTTTTGGGGGCCCCTTACACAGCTCAAGGTCTGGGCCCCAGGGCCTGACGGTGAGTATGCCCACAAGGCCCACTCATAGTCCACTTATATGTTCCACCCACCCATGAGTTCGCTCACAGGGAGTGGAGTGTGTAGGGGATGTGTTATGTGTTATTGTAGAGGATCTAATATGTGTGCTTATGGTATGTAGTGTATAGGGTTACCAGTTTGTGCAGGTGATGGTGTGTTTGTGTGTAGTGGAAGCAGTGTGTATTTGTGTATAAGGGATGTATTATGTGTTTCTGGTTGTGTGTAAGGGATGCATTGTGTGAATCTGTGTTTGTATGCATAAGGGATGCAAGGTGTGTGTCTGTATGTGTGTGCATTGAGTGTAAGAGATGCATTGTGTTTCTGTGTGTATGTAAGAAAAGAAGTGTGTGTGTATGCATATGTGTGTTTGCATTGTCTGTTTCTGTGTATGTGTGCAAAGGATGCATTGTCTTTGTGTGTAATGGTTGCATTGTGTGTGTGTGTGTAATGGATGCATTGTGTGTTTCTCTGTGTGTAAGGGAAGCATGTTGTGTTTCTGTGTATGTATAGGGATGCATTGTGTGTGTGTGTGTGCGCGCACGTAGTGTGAAAGAGCTCCCTGTCTTGGCCCCTGTCCTATAGAGCTGCCCTTTCTGTCCCGTAGAGCTCTCCCCTGCACCTTAGTGGTCTCTCCTCTCCCCCACCCTCCCCTAGCGGTCTCTTCTCACACTCACCCACCCTCCCTGTGCTCTTCTCACTCCTCCCTCT